GATCCCCATGGCGGCCAACGCTGCACAGCTGAGGACAGGGACCTTATGCCCACAAAGCCTAAAGTATGTATTACATGCCTCCTTACAGAAAAAGTTTTCTACCTCCTGATACAACCCACTGGAAATAAACTGTATTGTGGGTCACGTTTTACTTTGGTTTTACTATTTTAAAAATAAATTTACTGTGTCTAATTAGCATTGTCAATTCAAGAAGTGAATCTGACAGTTATACTACATTCTTACATCCCCTCCACCTTCAGAAAACTAAAGTCAACTGGACTGTCATAAAAAAGAATGAAATAATGCCATTTGCAGCAAAAGGGATGGACCTAGAGACAATCATAGTAAGTGAAGCAAGTCAGAAAGAGAACGACAGATGTCGTATGATATCACTTATGTGCGGACTCTAAAAATATGACACAAATAAACTTATTTACAAAACAGAAACAGACCCACAGATATAGAAAACAAACTTACGGTTACCAAAGGGGAAAGGCTGGGGGGAGGGATAAATTAGGAGTTTGGGATTAACACACACACACTACTATACATAGAATAGGTAACCAACAAGGACCTACGGTACAGCACAGGGAACTCTACTCAATGTCTTATAATAAATGATAATGAAAAGGACTCTGAAAAAGAATATATATATATAAAATGTATAAATGAATCATTTTGCTGTATATCTGAAACTAACACAACATTGTAAATTAACTATACTTCAATTTTTAAAAAATGATTTAATTAATTAATTTAAAAGTATATACAGTCGAACTTATAGGAAAGAGTGGAAAATTCTCAAGGGCTAGAAATACGGACGGAAGTCACAGCCAGAGACAGTGGGAGGTGAAGCTTCCCAGGCGCGGAGGCAGCAGGTGAGGAGACCCACTCTCGGGCCCAGAGGCCCAACAGGGATAGCTGGCCTCTGGGAAGAGCAAGGCCAGAGCTCCTGCCATGGAAGGAAATACAAGGAGAGGCCCCTCCCTCCTCAAGGCTGTGGACGGAAAGACAGCAAAGTCAGAGCCTGTACCAACCACGAGCCTGCACCGTGTGTGCGTGTGAGTTTGACCAAATTTACAACAAATATGTGCTCTAAATCCCCCCATGAAATGTACAGAAAAACTGGTCTAGGACCCATCAAGAAAGGACAGGAAAGGAAAAAAGGAAGACAGGCAAAAATGGGGTAGTGAAACATGATCCTGTGTAAAGGACGACAGAACTGTCCTAGGCGGATGGGGATAAATGTTAATAAAACTCAAATCTTTCATAAAAAGGAAGTACAGTGGGCTAAACCACCCTTCTACTATACTCAACTCACCTCGATACTTGCTAATAGAATACTGTGTTAATAAGATATTATTCTATCAATCTCCTATATTTAACTGACTTACTAAAAAGTCAAAGAAATACACTTAACGAGAGGAGGAAGACCTAAAGGAGGTGTCTACAGAGTTTCCAAAGACAGATTCTGTGAGGTTTTAAGGGCGTGAAGGTTAGTGGTGCTTAATTTTTATATGACGTCACTTTAACCTTAAACGTTGGTCTTCTTTTCCCTTGATTCAAGGAATCACTAGCCCTAGTTACATGGACTGGCTGTTTGAGCTGTTTTGCATCCATAAGAAAAGTGAAATGCAGGGCTCGTGGGAAGGTTGTCCTGGGCACTGTGCTGCAGTGGGAACCACAGGTTTGGGGGCAGGTCTCTGTTATTACCCGGCTCTGCCCAGCAGCCACCTGGGCCAATGACAGCCTCTGTGGCCCAGTTTCCATCTGTGTAAAGGGGGGCCCTAATCACAGGGTGCCTGTGAAGATGGGATGAAATGGAATTCCTCAAGTGCCTGGGTTAAAGCAGGAGCTCAATCGATGGCATGGACACAGCCCTTTTGTTGTTAAGGCAAATCCCAGAGGACACAGGTAAAGGAGCAAGCTATTAGGGGTACATCTGAGAAGGAGATTCTCTGGAGAATAACTTATTGGATATTTCCCTCAATTCATTCTGAATTAAGAGATTTTAAACAAACAGACTGAGTCATGAATCTTAAAGGAGAAGGATACAGAGGAGGAAACCGTGTCTACCAAGAGGGGCCATTGGTCAGGAACCTGAGTTCCAACACAACCCACAGAATTGCACCTAAATAGCTCCACGATTCATATAGGCATTCTTTGTAAGAATATAACTTGTAAACAGCCCTAGCTTTTTCATATCTGTTTTTTCCTTAGGTCTTTGTCTTCAGTGCAATATGATTTCAGTTGAGTTTTTCAAATTTAAAAATTCTTCCTTTTCTCATTCAGAGACCTTATTTTTGAAAAATAGGGTTTAGCAACCAACATTAGACAAAGATAATAAGCACATTTTTATAAATTAATACCTGGTTCATGTTACTTTTCCAATTAAGTTTTCATTGTTTTATTATTAAGGTAATTATTAATGCAGTTATGTTTTGATATAATGGAATGACTTAGGGTTTTGTATGTGCAGCAACGAAGCCTACTGACATGCTAAAAATCTAATTTAAGTGATCTTGGTCGGAGTCCAAGACTGGGCTTAGAGAGCTGTTAACCTCTTGAAATTGAATCCAAAGTAGGTATGCATGTCCAGGCATTTTCTAGCACATCTATAACTATCACCAGACTTTCAAAGGGGTCCATGACCTTAAAATACTTAGGAAGCATCTCTTTACTATCTCCTTTTCCTGCGGTCTCCTATTCCAGTACAGATATCTCTCTCACATCTAACAAAATGATATGCTAAAAAGACACGGTGTTATATGTAGTTATTTTGTTTCCTAATTTGGAAGGTGTCATGTTCAGAAATTTATATGCAAATATACTTCGAAGGAGGGCTGTCTATACAGAGAACACTGTATTCATATCACTGAGAGCACATAACCAGTTGTGTTTACTTCGTAGAAGTTTAACTAAGAAGACAATGAAATGGGCATTTTTAAAAAAATCACAAAGCACCATTTCCTAAGTCTAGAAAATTAAATGTTTGGGTTGTTACACTACAATGATCATTCCCACATAAATCACTTTCTAACAATACAATTCTGGAGAAAGAAATACAATTACCTTTTTTTGCTTAACTGTAACTATGTCTGTAGATACTTGCAGATGTTATCCACAGTAAGACAGGAGCTCTTGCAGGGCACAGTCTTAAGTAGTAAAGGCTAAACACGGGTCTGATAAATTAAAAAAAAAAAATCAGGACTTCCCTCGTGGCACAGTGGTTAAGAATCTGCCTGCCGATGCAGGGGACATGGGTTCGATCCCTGGTCCAGGAAGATCCCGCATGCCGTGGAGCAACTAAGCCCGTGCACCACAACTACTGAATCTGCTCTCTAGAGCCCCCGAGCCACAACTACAGAGTCTGCATGCTGCAACTACTGAAGCCCACGCACCTAAAGCCGATGCTCTGCAACAAGAGAAGCCACCGCAACAAAGACCCAATGCAGCCAAAAATAAATAAATAAAATTAAAAGCAAAACTCTAAGTAATCTACAGGTTTATTAAAAAAAAATCAGAACCAAGAAAATGAAATGGTGCCGATTAAAATGTAATAGTACATATATATTTTTAATATAATATATTTAAAACATGATCTAGCCACAGGAATAAAATGCCTCTTTAAAAATGAAATGAGCATTATCCTCATTATCTCTGAGAGAGGTATTTTCATAGTTTAAAAAAGCAAACAAATTATTGGTTAAATGTGAGTTTTATTCCTTTTATAGTCTGCTATGTAGTTCTAACGAATTTAATTTGTTCAATGGATTATTCATCACTACATTTTTTTCTGAGATTAAAGAAACATTATTCATAGATTACAATTGTTATGCAGGGCACCTTCTTATGCTTCTAAGCCTTTAGTGTAAGTGTATTATCCGTGTTAATGATTTATGTGCAGTATCTACTAAATATTGTGTTTAATGTCTGATTCAGCTCTAACAAACACTGAAAATGGAAAGAACATAAGATTCAGAGAAAGTAGAATAATTGAAAACATGATTGTTCTACAACCTCAAAAGTTCACTGCGGGATGTTTTACACACGTGGACTGGGGGCCACTTTGCAATCATTTTGTTTGGAAGCACATTCTCTCCAGAGGAAGTTTTAATACCAGACACACGGAACCTTCCAGTAAAATAGCCCATCACCGAGAACCAAGAGATCAGCTTAAGTAAATATCTGACAAATACTGTAAAATCTATTTTTCATAGTTTTTAAATAACCTGCTCATGTTCAAGGAAGAAAAGCACAAGAGAGCCATAGAAAAAGGCTTACTTGAAAAAATACAATTCCCTTGTTTTACACAGATTTACTCGCTTTAAGGGACACCCAACGGCACTAGTACAACAATACCACGCATCTACACAGAGTGCCATCTCTATAACATCTGCTCCTACGACAGCAGGTATCACGGGACGAGCAGCTGTTTCCCAGAAAAACCGTACGTGACTGTCCCAGTCAACTATCCAGCGACGGCTGCTATCAACTTTCTAATTAATCCCGATTTAACCAAGTGATAACACGCAAATATGTACCTACCAACCATGGGTACTCGGTGGGTAGTGGCTGAGGCTGGAGGGACCACCCCAGGGAAGCGGGTGTGAGACACGTGACTTCAGGGCTCTCTGCCTCCACCCCCCGCCCCGCCCCGGGAAGCCCAGGTCAGCCCCCAAGTGTGCTCGCGCCTAACTCCGGGGGCGGGCCGGTCAGTAACCCAGGGCGACGCGATGAGCAAAACCAATTCACGGAACACGAGTCACTCCCCCGAAGTTAAGTCCAGTCCGAGGGCGGCTCGGCCGGCAAAACTCTTTGGGGCAAAGGCAGGCGGACGGTCCCAACTACACTGCGTGGCTTCCCCCCGGACCCGCGGGCCGCAGCGGCGGAAGGATCAGGTGCGGGGTCGGGCTGGGGCCGCCTGACCACGCGCGGGCCAGCTCAGGGGCTGGAAACCGGGCAGCTGACGGCGAAGCGCCCGCGGCTGCGCTCCTTACCTGCGCTGCTCTCCGCGGTCCGGCGGCGCGGACCGGCGCCGCAAGTCCCGTCGTCCCAGGCGGAAGGGCCGCCGTCTTCTCCCCGGACAGCGCGGGCCGCGGCTCCGTCTTGCGTCCTCGGCGGCCACCGCGGCGACTGCGCTCCCGGGCGGGAGGGCCCACATCCCCGCGCGGGCTTGGGGCGCCCGGGACCCGGCGCCGGGCGGGCGGGGGTCGCAGACCTCGGCGGGGCGCGCGGGGCCCCCGAGGCGTCTCGCCGGCCCGCCCGCCCACCCGGCGCGCGCGTCCACGTGCCAACCCCGCGTCACGTCCCCGTGGGTCGCTGGGCCCCGGCCCGTCTCCTCTGCCGCCGCGGGGGCGCCTTCCAGCCGTTCCCGGTGCAGCGGCGTCGCGTCACGCAGTGCGGGTCGGAGCTCCGGTGTTCCCGCCTCGGCCCTCGTCCCACGAGGTACCAGAACCGGCGCCGCCCTTTCCGCGCGCGCCAGGGCGGCCCTGCTGGGGACCCGGCCCTTCGCGGGCTCCGGTGTGTCCCCCGGCCTGTCCCCGGCGAGCCTCTGCGGCTCCTGACACCGAGCAGGGCCGGGGCCTGGCAGCTGGGCGGCCCCCGCGGGGTTTGTAGAGACTCTGTCCGCAGCACCAAGGGGACTGCGCGCCCACCCGCTGCTTTGAATAGCAGCTGTACTACGATTTGTTTTCTTTTTTAAAGCCTGGAGCGGTTCGCTCAAATGATGATAAGGCATAGGGTTTTCCTGGTAGTGCTTCTGTGTCTGTCATCTGTTTACTTGTTGACACCTCCGCACGGGAGAGTGACTGGGTTCCAGCAGTTTTGTGTCTGGGGAATGGCCGGGGTGTCTGCAGATGTGGTGAACGAACTGAGGAGGTAAATTATCAAACATTCCTGAAAGGGTCCTGCTGGTGTATCCTGTGAATTTTTAAATGGAGATGACGCTGTTTTATCTGGAAGCAAATGGAAACACCAAGACGCTGGGGTATTTAAAAAGGTTTTTCACGTAACCAAGTGGATAATTGCAAGGCAGAAATGTTTACAACTCTTAGATTACATTTTTTTTTAAAGCAGACTTTTCACAGGTGGAAATCAAAAGCCATTTTCCCAGAAAAGTCCAATGCAAATTTTCATTAATTATTCTCCACCTCATAGGTGATAGTGACAACCATTCTTTAAAAAAATTTACTCTCACAGGGATATGTAAGATTGCTGTAGATTCAGATGTGCTATTAAAGATGGATAAATAATTTTCTACATATTTCACAGGCAGCATAGTGAAAAGAATTGGGAATTGTTGCTCTAAAAATGTCCATACTATCCAGTAAAGGTTGCTGTTTTTATATTTGTGTCAAATAGTGTAAAAGTTGTTAATGTATTCTACTTGCCCAAACTGACACGACCCCAGAGCCAACATCATCTCTCTCATTGGCTTAGGAAAAAAGAGCTGGCAATAGTCTCCTGCTGGGGATGGTGACAGCGTCAAGGACCCAGAGCACGTGCCATGATTTCCCTGATGGAAAAGGTAAATATATCCAAAGTGGAATATGGAAAAAGCCAGGGGTGTGTACAGGGTCTGAACTCTCCAAATGGTTTTGATTGAGCACCTTATGTGAGATACTTTGATCAACACAGGACATGTACAGTTATTTGCATCTTAAACATATCTATGAATATATTACATGAAGAAAGTTAATGTATTACTTAGATTGTAAAACACAAAGGGAAAATTTTAAATGAATGATAGAAGGGAACATAAATAGAAGAAGTATTGGAATGGTGATGTGAGGCTCTTTGTAGACCCTCTCTCCAGGAAACAATCAGAAGTGAGCGGTGAAAATTATTTTAAAAACTTTTATTTAAAGTCTCTGGAAATTGTCCTGAGGGTATACAGTAAATGGAGAAACATTCATTCATGAGAATCTACTAAATCTTGGTAAGAACAGCAAGAATCTGGGTATTCGGTCTAGGACTGAATCTGCGCCACCCCAGCTCAGTGTGATGCGCTGTGTGGGTGCAGCCAAGAAGATGGCCTTCCACTCCTCCAGTTCCCAGTCTGCGTTGCTGGCTTCTCCTTGGAAGGGGCAGGCCTCCAGCATCCTCAGCCCCCTCCCGCAAGCTGCAGGCACAAGCTTCATTCCAGGCAGGTGTGGCCAACAGGTCTGGGACTTCCCACGTACCTAGCCACCACTCTAGGGTGGAACCTGTCTCCCAGGTGTGGCAGGCCAAGGATATGGGGCCACTACTGTCCCCATCTTGGCTCCCTCGTAGGGGGCAGTTCCATACTCGGAGAGGAGAGGAGACTAGGGGTTGCAGTCCCTAATCAGTGCCCTAGTTGTAGGGTGGGAGGTCATGGTGAGAGAGGAGGCCACTGTGCCCGCCTCTAGCTCTGGAGCAGTGGGGCGAGGTTCTGCCCGGGGCAGAGGCAGGCTAAGCAGGGAGTTCCACAGCCCTCCCTGAGGAGATGGATTTTATTTGGAGGAGATGGTGGGGAAGGGCACTCTCAGAAATGATGGAGAGCTTGGTAATACGCAATTGAGAAGAAGCTTGTAGCTCCATGATAGCAAAGAGCTCAGTGGTAGACTAGCTAGAAATTTAACAGAGAAAACCAAGGATAAAGAGAGAAGAATGCTGTGGTAAATAGACTCCATGCTTAAAGAGTGCATACAACATCTCACACGCTGCAGGACCCAGGGCAGAACAGTAACTTGGAGGGAGCCTGGGTCAGACCCACTTGCTGATCTTGGAGAGCCTCGCAGAGAGGTAGGAGGTAGCAGCGCTCAGCCTGGGGTGAGGACTCTGCAGCAGCCATTGTGCAGAGCTCATCCCACCACGAGGATGCTGGTGTTGGTAAGCGCCATTTTGAAATCCTCCCTCTAGTGCCAGAGCCTAGCCCCACCTACCAGCCGGTCAGCACCGGTCCTGGGCTGCCTTAGGCCAAGCAGCTAGGTGGGCCCAGAACCCAGCCCTACCCACCAAGGGGTGAGAACCAACCCTGGAATGCCCTGGGCCCTTGTCCCGCCCATCTGAGAGCTAACACCGACTCCAGGACCCTCAGGGTCCTGCAGCTAGAGACCTCAGGACGTGGCCCCATCACCAGCTCCAGGACACCATGGACCCTGCGGCCAACCACGACAGGACTGGCCCAGCCCACCAGAAGGTCACCCCCTCGTGACTCAGCCCCACCCGCCAGCAGGTTGGCACCGGGACCAAGACTCCCCTGGCCCTATATCCAGCCGTGCCAGGACTTGGACCTGCCAACCCACGGCTGGCTGGCAGCCTCTGCACAAGGCAGGGCCTGGCAACCGACTGGAACAAAGGTCAGACAAGCCTCCTAGCATGCCCACAGTAGTCAGCCTGCTACAAGAGAAGGGCCCGGGCAGCCCACATAGGAGGAAGCCCTACAGCATATAGCTCTGGTGACCATTACTGCAATGGAATCAATAATTTTAAAAAGCCCAACAAACAGAAGTCCAAGACCAGATGGCTTCACAGGTGAATTCCACCAAACATTTAGAGAAGAGTTAAGACCTGTCGTTCTCAAATTATTCCAAAAAATTGCAGAGGACAGAACGTTTTGGAACACATTCTATGAGGCCAGGATCACCTTGGTACCAGACAAAGATATCATAAAAAGAAAAATTACAGGCCACTATCACTAATGAACATAGATGCAAAAATCCTCAGCCTAATATTAGCAAACCGAATTCAACAATACTTTCAAAAGCTCATACACCATGATCAAGTGGGATTTATCCCAGGGATGCAAGGATGGTTCAGTAGCCACACATCAGTCAATGTGATACACCACATTAACAAATTAAAGAATAAAAACTATGTGATCATTTCAAGAGATGCACAAAAAGCTTTTGACAAAATTCAACATCCATTTATGATAAAAACTCTCAACAAAGTGGCTCTAGAGGGAAATTCCTCAACATAATAAAGGCATGTATGATAAGCCCAAAGCTAATATTATACTCAATGGTTGCATTTCTATACACTAACAAAGAACTACCAGAAAGAGAAATTAAGAAAACTGTCCCACTTACAATCATATAAAAATTAATAAAATAACAAGGAATAAATCTAACTAAGGAGGTAAAAGACTTGTACTCAGAAAACTATGAGATGCTGATGAAAGAACTGGAAGATGACACAAACAGATGGGAAGATATACTGTGCCCGTGGATTGGAAGAATTACTGCTGTTAAAATGACCATACTACCCAAGGCAGTGTACAGATTTAGTGCAATACCTACCATGTGTGATGGATTTTGATCTGAGACTAGCTTTTAAGTGAAGCCTGCAACACACATCTGTCCTGTTGTCAGCTACCAATATTTACCAAAAGGAATCTTGCTGCTACCACTGCCAAGAATGCCTTTTACTAGCTTCTTGACCTGGAGCTAGTATTTATTTTAGTATTGTAATCCTTACGTACATGTGTTAGAACCAATCATTTACTTCTAATCTATAAATTTAGTCCAGGTTTAGAATTAAATTGAATTCTTATTGCATTTTCCATCTTAGTCTTTCATGGTTTAATTAAGCAGATTTAAACATATATTTTAGTCTATCATTTCTAAAAATTACCTTTCACGATGTGTTAAGAATTAAATAATTACTGTCAAGTTGCTGCAAAATTAATTGTTACCATTTTAATATAACCACACGAAACAGGGAAAAGTTACGGAGTCTTAAAGTGCTTCTTAAAAATTTTAGTTAAGAGATTCATCAATGCTGACATCTTAATTTTATTCTACTCTTCAACTGGTGCATTTATTTTTATGTAATTATGAGCTGTCAAAGGTCCTTTTCATAACAACAGGTTTTATTTGCTTCACTGAACTTAATGAAATCCATGTGCATAAGTGAATTTTACAGATGTATTTAAATTCAGTACCTGAAATTCTTGTTTCTAATGGTGTCTAATATTTTTAAATATGTGGGCTTTTGAAGAAAGGAAATCGTAGAATCACAAGAAACAAGTTAAAAGATACTAAAGAAGACATTTAGCAGATTTTGATAACTTCAACT